TCATTAACTTCAGTCTGTATCACCGCAGTCAGCAGTAATCAGGCTCGTCACTAGGGGGCGCTTCAGCTCAGTGATTTGATGCGGGGAAGAAGCGTGTGTGTGTGACCCATTGGTGAGTTGAAGATGAGTTAATCCTGACATTATTATTACTTTCCTCTATTCAGCATAATTAGACTGTTAAACTGGCGGGGTTTCCAGCCGTGCTGTGAAGGACGCATACGGACGACAAAAAAAACCCAACACCATCTCAACAACAAAGGCTCAGCTTCCGGTTTCTGGATGTAGCTGTCAGGCTCCACCATCATTTAAACGGGGCATCGCTTTATCAGCAGGTTGGTAGCTTCGTTTAGCTATTGTTGATTAATAATAGTTTATCGGGGCGATGTTTTTCCAAACTGCCAGCAGTCGTAAACACAGTGTATACTCAGATTTTTCAGCTTCTTCTACAGCGAGCAGCCGCTAGCCTGAATGGGCTACAAACTGCAAGCTAGCAGATGTAATATGACCGTTAATTAACGAGACATCTCGTTTGTCTGTGAAGCTTTAGTATGAGCGAAGGAGAGGTGTTTCATGAGAAGCAACGATTGGAGCTGTGCGCAATTCACGCACTCAACAACGTGCTCCAGGAGCGGGTGTTTACCAAAGAGACAGCCGACGATATCTGCAAAAGGTAGGGCAGCCCCTGGGTGACGTGACGGTGTACGGAAATCTGTACACAAACCAGCGAGAGCATTCAAACGATCCATCTGCTAAACTCACCAATGATCTGACCAGTTTATAACCTCAATTATAATCAATAAATTAAGTAGACAATACTCCTTAATTTGTTTACCCTGTGAACACACTGCCATTTTTCTGCAATGCAGCAGCTGCTTTTATCTTCTAAGGCGTGTGTGAGATGCTGAACATGACAGGTTTTCATGTTTAGCTTCAGTTATGGCAGTGCCGAGCAAGGCTTTTACTGGGAACTCCAAGACTCAAGCAGAAATGACTGAATTCCCTCATTCAGCCATCATGTCTTCCACCTAAAAGTGAAAAATGCCAAACATTTATTCTTAACAAAAGCTTTAATTTGATCAGGAGTGTGTGGGTGTTTGTTGGTTTTTTTACACTCACTGTTAGGAAAATTTAACATTAAGTTTTTGTGGGGAAAGAGCAGTGGGTGCTGTCCGTGTAGCAGAAACCATTGTTTTTCAGTGAGGCTGGCATGTATGTCAGCAGCCATTAGCTTAATTGAACATGAGGCCAGATGAGTCATGATCTCTGTGGCTTTTGACAAACAACATTTATTTGAATGCAGAGCAGCTCAACCCCACAAAAACACAGCTTTTTCATATCACTGTGGTTGTTTTGGGACAACAGTTATGCATTGTGATGATATTTATGATATTTATATGCAAAAAAGTAAAAAAAAAAATCTAAACAGTTTTGTAAAGAAGATGCAGTATAACATTTGGTTTTTTTAAAACGGCATTTCTCTGCTTTTTTTCTCTCGTGGCAGGCTGGCTCCACAGTGTGTCGTGAACCCACATCGATCAGTGTTAGGGACGGGAAACTATGATGTCAACGTCATCATGGCGGCACTACAGACCCGGGAGTTGGCTGCGGTGTGGTGGGACAAACGCAGGTAAGTGAGTCACACTGAAGTCTGTGAAATGAGAAAGTCATTTTGTGTAGAGGTCCTGCCTCTGTGCTCATAATGTTGGTGTTAAATTTGAAATTTACTTTTTCATTTACACTATGTCTCCGGGCTGTTTGTTCTACCTTTCTCCTTAATCTCACAGTCGCGTTTTTTAAGCCATACCTATACAGCTGGTTGTTAATAAAAATATCCAATTAGACAATTACACGGAAGCAACTCAGTTCGTTTAGGAATTTAGGCATCAAAACACAGTCAGGATGACCTGCTAAAGTTTAAACTGAGCATCAGAATGGGGAAGAAAGATGATTTAAAGTGATTTTGAACGTGGCACGGTTGTTGGTGCCAGATGGACGGGGCTGTTTATTTCAGAAACTGCTGATCTTCTGGGATTTTCCCAAGAAACCATCTCCAGGGCAGAACACCATTTCTGAATGTGCAACATGTCAAACCTTGAAGCAGATGGGATACAGTATCAGAAGACTAGACCGGGGGCCACTCAGGAAACCGAGATTACAACCAACCAACCCAGTTTTAGCAAGGTGTACCTAATAAAGTGGCTGGGACTGTATACTGCAAGGGGATCCAGAATATTGAGATAAGCTCTTAGTGCCAGGCTGTTGTAATAAAAGGAAAAGGGAATTCTTGAGACTATTTTCAGACATAGATGGGTTTTTTTCCCTTAAAACAACATCTTAATTTTAAACCACTTGTGATGTAACCCTGAGGCATTGTTGGATTACACATATAAAGCATATTGGCAGTCTTACCAAACCGCAGCTACATGTGAAAATGAATTTTGTGCTTTGATAGATTTACAGACTCAGTAAGTGCTTCAGAAGTTTGCTATCCGGGTCGAGGTCATTCATAATGAAAAATGCCCTGAGATGCACTGTGCGTAATAACTGGTTAAGTAAGACTATCTTAAAGTGGGTGATTTAGTGATTTCTTTCTCCTCTCTTTCAAACTGCAGGGAAGTTGAGAACCTCTGTATGTCAAAGGTCCAAGGCTTTATTCTGAATGTCCCATCACGAGTATCTTTGGGGATTGTATCCCTCCCGCTCCGACGGCGGCATTGGCTCGCAGTTCGGCAAGTTAGCGGACAGTACTACAACCTGGACTCTAAGCTGAAGAGTCCGGTTTGCATCGGCGGAGAAGCAGAGCTATGGTAAGAATTGTGCATGTATACATCCAATGTTTCCCGGACTCTCAGGAGCAGAGATGTAATCTCTGTGTGAGTGATTCTGCTCTGACTTCGATCTAAACTTGGCTTTTGTGTGCTGTTTGAACTCATTGAGTGAGTCATACCATGTGACTGGTCACATGGGAGTGGGGGTTAGCTCATTGTTTGTTTTGTGTTAGGACACTGTGCTCTATTAAAATCCCCACTGTCTGTTCTTCTAACCTTCTCTCTCTTCGCTTCTGTTTCAGCACATTTCTCACTGAACAGCTTTCTCAGGACGTGGCAGAGATGCTGCTCGTTGTCCGACGGGAGGTGGAGGAGGACGGCTCATGGCTGAACGCTGACAGCAAGAAGTGATGCCTTGGAACAGAATATAACTTTGCAAAGCATGGGGGGGGAAAAAAACCCTCCTCTGGGGAAATGACAGACATTTTGAAAGAGAGAAGCAAACACCTCGTTAAAAAAATATCTTCAGGGAATGCACTAAAATACATTTAATATCTACACAAACACACAGATTCCAAAGAGAAGTATAGGTGGGCGTTTAATCCTGAAATGAAGAACTGCTTGATTGTAACGGCTTAAAAAAGAAAACCATTGCTCTGGTATGACCCATCTATCTGCAACGTCAACTATACTCTTGTACTTTTTGTTTTAACTCTTTGAGTTGACAAAGTTGCAGGTGAGAGGCAAACGTGTGCTAGTTTATGACACTTTTGTTGTGACCTGATTGTGAAATGTTACTGTGTTTTTGGTAACTGGAAATATTTGATTAGTTAAAATGCTATCAGGATGAATTTGCCACTTAGGATACTGTTGTCTTAGATCCAGTTTGTTATGTGCTACATGCGTTATGGTTATGCCAGAATGCGTTGATTGTGAAGGAGCGCCATCTCTTCCTTCACCCTTGTTATTAACCTTCTATGCACTGCAGCGTTTGAGTTGTTTGCACTGTTTGACTTTGTTCGCACTCATGCAGGCACAGGAGCCTTGAATGCATCGCCTTAAAGAGGCACCAGAAGACTGCACCAGTGTCTTTGCATGTGTTCATCCATTTACTTGACTTCTTGCGTTCTTTTTAGTCTAGTTACACAGTTGTGATCAGAAGTTTACACACACTCTTCGTGGGTACGAATGTTATGGTAATTTGGGTCTTTTAATGATTTCTTTGAACATTTTTTTTCCAGGGTGGAATGATTGTACAGCATACGTCTTTAATGACTTTTAAAAACAAGAATTGGCTGTGCAGGTTTGAAACTGGATTTTCTCTAAACCACACAGGGTTAAATATCTGCATACACCCACACTAATATTTGGTTAAATTTCCCCTGGCATTTTGCACCTCAGCCAGACTCTTTTGGAAGCTTCTGGCTGAATAGTTGACCACTCATCCTGGCAGATATGATGGAGTTAATTTAAATCAGGCACAGAGACAGCGTTTAAGCATAATCCATAACTTTTCAGTAGGTTTTTGGAAGGCCTTTCCATTAGTGGATGTAAACCTCTGACCACAGCTGTGTTATAGTTGTGTGGTAAAGTTGTACAAGCCACACGCTGAAGAAGCTCCCTCAGTTCATTTTTCTTCTGTTTATCCAGTTCAAGGTTGGGGTAGTTAGGGTGGTCGGGGGGGCTGGAGCCAATCCCAACTGTCACAGGGTGAGAGGCAGGGTACACCTTGGCCATGTTGCCAGTATGTCGCATGGCCAACACAGAGAAACACGACCGTTTACACTGACAGTAAATTTAGAGTCAAATAACTTAACCCTATGCATGTTTTTGGACTTTGTGAGGAAGCCACAGGACCCAGGGAGATGATGCGAAGAGTAAAGTAGCTGACATCACGAAGAGTTAGCGAGTGAATCCAGGTTTGGGGTACAGAGCAGTGTTAAGTTCACTAATCTTGAAAACATGCAAAAGCACTGTACACGTGACTGTATGTAGGCGCTACACTTGTGTTTTGTCTCCCCTAGTAATCTATGCATATCTGAAAGAATAGGAGCGCTGTCTCTGATACACACTAGTGAATAACTTACACATAAACCTAAGCTCAGAGGTGAATAATATTTTAATTTATTTATATTAAACATTGACCTTTTGTTTTAAGTACAAGTCTCTTGCAAAGTGTGCTGTGTGTGTTTTATTGGCATTGTGTTGACATGAAGATGAGGACCAGTGTCGGGTTATTGAAGTTATTTTTATTTATATTAGACTCTCGAGTGTAAAAGGATGCCATTCAAAAGGAGCATTGATAACCATACAAACTCAATTCAAGGGTTAACGGGGTCAGAGAGGGAGGGATTCGATGAAATCTCACACTGGTACCATATATACACAAAAACTTCTTGGAGAGATCTCAGAAATCCAACGCTATACATAGTTATTATTGCTAGTTATGGTAGGGCTACTGCAGCACCAGTAGCAAGATTCATATTGCTATGTACCTGCTGTCATGGCGTGGGATTTCTAGTTCTCCACCCTCAGAGATTGAGTGGCGGTTCTCCGTTCCGTCATTAAAACAGAGTCACGGCAGCCCTCAAGTTTTTTTTGTTTGTTTGTTTTTTTTTTAAAGAGCAAAGATTCATGATTATTCAGATATTACAGACAGTGAGAGATATACAGAGTACCATAAGGTAATACGAGGAAAATACAGAATCGCCACCTATAAAAAGTAATTTAAAAAAAAAAATCATACCAAGTGAAGGAACTGCATAACCATTCACAGAAAAAAATGTGTCTTGTTGCTACGTGCCAGTGCTTTTCTACAACAATATTTATATAAAAACTCGAAAATAAAGTGGTGGTACAGATACATTTAAGAATATAAAACTACAACGTAGTAACGTCAATACCATTCTGACTTGGCTCACCACAGTTTACACAGTTTGGACAAAAGGGAGGGAGGAATTTAGGCCAAGCACACTTGGTTTAAAGCATAACCAAGCAGCAGAATCACTGTCGGCTGTATCTTTTAAGTGCTTTTAATAATAATAATAATACTAGTAATAATGATAATACTCAGTGGTACTGACGTTACGCACTTTGACACCTAGCATTCATTTTATTTAGATTAGTTTCTTTTTCATTTCATTAAAGTGTCCATTCATAAGAAAACTAAACATTTTTTTTCTATACATTTCCTAACAAAAAATAATAATAATCAACGTGAATACAGGTTCCTCGAATGGGCGGGGTTGGGGTGTGATTGACTTCCCCCGTAACCAGTCAGCATGCTGGGAGAGTACTGTGCTTCCAGAGAACAGGACGGGGTTCAGCAGACGAGAGGTCAAGATGGTCCGAAGTTTCAGGGAGAGAAAGTAAAAGAGAAAAAAAAGACGTTTGTTATTCATTCATGTGAACATTGGCTGATCCAAAGCAGAACACGGCACCTATTACGCTCATTTAAAGCATCACTGTTTTATTTTCAGCTCTTTTAGCCTTTAGGCAGCTGATTTTGTCCTCTGGTGTGACAGATTGGCTGGCCCTCACAAACTGATGGTCTGAATTAAATATTGCTGTTACTTCATTCTTTCCTCAGAAGCAACATATTATAGTCCATAAACTAGACTATAAATCCAAATATGTTCTTTTTTATTTAGCAAAATCTTGATTGGCATTGTTCCCGGCGCATTTTACAGAATTTCTCAGAAGCTGAAGTCTGCCGAAACATCAAAGAATTGCTTAAGCTGTCATTATGAAAGTGAAAGCTTGCTCACTTGTTGAAATTGAGTCATACAGTCATGTACAAAGGAAAGCTTTCAAGTACCTCCCATGATAAAGCAGCTTGTCGAAGCACTTTTAACAGCTCTTTCTGCATGACTTTATTGTTCCCTCACATCATTGTGGAGCCATTTTGCCCCACTCTCCTTCACAGCGTTGTTTCAGTTCATTGAGGTTTGCAGGTATTCGTTTATGCAAAGCTCTCTTAAGGTCCCACCACATAATTTCAGTCAGGCCTAGGTCTGGATTTTGACCATGCACCACCTAGATTCTTTTGTTTTTTTCCTGTTCATTCGGATGTGCTGCTGTGCTTGGGATCATTGTCCTGTTGCATGACAGAATTTGGGCCAAGCTTTAGCTGCTTGACAGATGGCCTCACATTTGACTCTAGAGTATATTGTTATACAGAGTTCAATGGTTAACTCTGTGTTTGGAAGGTGTCCAGGTCCTGTAGCTGCAAAATAAGCCTGTATCATGCCACCTGGACTTTCAACCCTATCTTACAGCTTTTGCCAGGAAGATGGAGTCTGATTTGAATTTTCAAAGAATTACTTTTGCTGTCATTATAAAAAAAAAGTCTGTTCACCTGTTAGAGCAAGGTTATATGATGGTAGAGATTGCAAGTCTGTACTCTGTGCGCTCTATAACTTAAGCTGAAACCTTGTCAAAACATTGTAAAACTGCTGAGCATGACTAACTTGTTGTGATCAAGGTCACTTGGTAGATTTTTGTGGCACCTTGATCTGCATCTCCTGGTCTTCCTTGACAGATAAAGGTGTTCAGGAGGTCACATATGAGGGGGAGACGCTATTAAAGTCATGCAGTGTCTCTGACAGTATCATAAACCTGAAACCTTCCTATGTGCGTTAAAATAACCAGAAAAACCTTGTAAATTGGTTTTAGTTCATTTCTTTTCCCAGCGTTGATAGTTTTTGTTGTCAAAATGGACAAATGTTCTTCCTGATATGCTTTGCACTTTTTAAAGGTTTTAAACTGTTGAAGTAAAAAGTGAACCACGTTAGTCCGTTTGCTACTCGTTATCAAAGCGAGCGTGAGCACTAACAGCAATGAAAAAAATGGCACAGAGTGCGATGGTGTCACAGGTACAGAGGAACTCACAGAGGGGGGTGGGGACTGCCTGTCAGTCAAGGGTAGGCTCTCATAGCCAGGGTTGCCATTGGAGGAAACGTTTGGAGTCCTGTATAGAGATAGAAAGAGACAAGGACAGAAGAGAGCGGGAGAAGACGAATAGTGGATAAAGAAGAGAGGGAAAGAAGGGGTGAGACACATTGAGAAAGACAGAAGGGGGGTGGGGGGAGGACCGCAGGATGACGAGACCCACGGACAGGTAAAAGGAAAAAAGGAGAAAGAACGATTAGAGAAATAGTGCAGACAACACAGCACTCAGCAGAGCTATTAGTACTACTGGCACTCAGGCAGGACACTGTGAGCACCAGTAGCAGGTGTACAGTCCACTCCTGACTGATGCACAACAGGATTTGCACAATAATCTGCAATTACACGCATTTAGGACTGGGTATGAATCGCCAGCTGCATTTCAGCCGTTATGTTGCTTTGTTAATGAATTTTTTTATCTGCACGATAAAACCCAGAAAGCTTTTAAAGCAGTCCTGAGCAGCTTCCATTTAAGAGGAGTGGACTGTATTTAGCTGAGTTTCTTTGTATCTTTGTATTTGTGCGTTAATATCACATATGGAGTCAAGACGATCCACTGCATTAGGATAGTAAGTAAAATTAGTAGTACTAACTATACTTTGATTTTTGCATAAAGGAGTAAAGGGAGGGGGGGCAAAACAAAGTAAGATGAGAAAATTGAAGGTATGCAGAGGACTGAAACAGCCAAAAACAAATATAAATAAGGAAGTAAATATATGAGTATAATAATAAAAAAAAAAAAGAAATGTAGACACCGATTAATTTACAAAATGCGACACAAATTGATGTTCATATTTCTATTATGTACTTTTCCTTTTTATCTATTTCTTTATTTAACCAAT